CCCTTGCTTTTAGCATAAAGTCAAAACTCCCATAACTTGTTTGCACATCCCTGCCTAACCTGGTCCCCACCACCAGCCTCATCTCACAACAGTGGCCTTCATTTCTCAAGCTTTGGCCCCACTAGACTCTTTTCACCTCCCTTTATTCACTGAGCTTTCACTAGCCACAGGGTCCTGGAATATTCCCTTTCTTCCCTACCTAAATCACTAGGATTAAATTCCTAGAAGCTTCCATCTTCAGATAGAGGCTCAAGGGTCTTTCCTCAAGGAAGTTTCTTGATCTTCCCGAGTTGAATTCCTCCATTAGACCTCAGATGGCACCAGTTTAGCATGACTTTACATATCTGATTAATGTCTGTCTCCCCTACTAGATTTGTAAACTTTTGCTCACACAGAAGCACATAGATAAATGCTTATGTGAATATGAATAAGCCCACGAATGAGGAAATGATTATATATCATATACCTCACTATGGAATACTAAGCAGCTGCTAAAAAGAGATAACTCTATATACTAATACGAATGTCTATATTATTAATTTAAAACAGCACATTACAGAACAGTGTGCATACTGTTTTTAAAACTTACATGTGTATATATTTATTTTTTTAAAAAAAAACTCTGTGTTTGTTGGGGGCGGGTGTGGGAGGCTGTATTGAAAAAGGTTTGCAAAACTCAAGACCAACAACAAATTGCTTGAAGTGCTTGCTCTGGAAAATGGAAATGAGACAAGGAAGAGGAAAAATAGGATAACAATTTCTACTTAAAAATTTCTGGGTTTGACTTTATCCAGTGACCATATAGTACTGTTGTAATTAGTTTAACAATACGATTTTAAAAATAATGATACAGTTCACCAAAGTTCAGGAAACTGATCATTTCTAAATACAGTGAAAAAGAGGTAGAAAAGCTACTTTGTATGATCCTCAACAAGGATACAGTTCTAGAAACAAGCTAATTTCCAAGCCAGACCTTCAATCTAGCAGTAAGTTCTGATGAAGAAGCAAAATGGAAGAGAACAATTGGAAATGCCAGAATTTGTTTGTTTAATTAGGTTTTACATCACTTTTATAAACAAAAGAGATTTCAAAAATTTATTGCTGTCCTGGCATGGTGGCTCACACCTGTAATCCCAACACTTTGGGAGGCCGAGACAGGCAGATCACTTGAGATCAGGAGTTCAAGACCAGTCTGGCCAACATGGGGAAACCCTGTCTCTACTAAAAATATAAACATTACCTGGGCATGGTAGAGAGCACTTGCTACTTGGGAGGCTGAGGTATGAGAATCACTTGAACCAGAGAGGTGGAGGTTGCAGTGAGCCAAGATCATGCCACTGCACTCCAGCCTGAGTGACAGAGCAAGACTCTATCTAAAAAAAAAAAAAAAAAAAAAAAAAAAAGGCATTGATTCCTTTATATAAACTTGGAAGGAAAATTAGAAAAAAATATAATAGCATGAATTTTTCTTAGTTTACTCCAATTGTTTTAAATTAAATATAATTGAGTACATGAAAGCACCTTGCTATCCCTCACTTCTCAAATAACAGCCCTTATTATCTTTACCATAACTCAAATAGGAAGGTCATTTTCTAACTTCACACAGGTTACAGAGGAAAGAGCAGGAATAAATATACAGGTGGTGCACAGATAGGATCATTCCACAGATAATGGCAGAAAACCTCACTTTGATTGTGCAGGTGGAGAGACCCACAGTTTCTGAAAAGGGGGAGGTGGGCGTGCGGGCACGATTCCTCCAGCAGCAGCCTACGAGGAAGAGCTGGGAAAAAAGTCTGTGAATATAGAATAAATACTGTCACTTGGAGCTGCATTGATTCTTTTTTCAGACTAACTAATGGCTCAGATGGTAGAACAACCAAACGATGACTAAAATATGAGTCAAATGCTTTCAAATCAAATCATTCCAATGAAACAGGAACAGAGGCAAGCAGAGAACAGGTCATTAGAGGTTCTAACCAAAACTTGTTAAATCTAAAAAACCTCACTCTCCTAAATGACTGCCTCTTTCTATCTAAAGTCATTTTGATGTTAGTGAACTGGGGACAATAGATCTTTATTACTTGTGACACCTACTGATCAGCTCTCAGCAGCGGAAAAGGCAGCTCCTGGCTGGGCTTATATACTTTTTCCAATCCTAATTTGTCTTCTCTCCCACAATCTATCCAGCATGTCTTCAGTGATGCCAAAGGCTGTTATAAAACTCTAAAATAAGGCTCAAAGTTTACTTTCTTAATATTTTTGAAAACCAACTTTCATTTAAATATAAAAATAGCTCACATTAAGATGAAATGGGGTTGGGGGAAGGGAGGTGAGAGCCCATTATGAAATGGAATCACAGGGCATGAAGCTCCCAGAAGGCTAAAACTAACTCCCTGTGACACAGAAGAGGTGGCAGCATGTGCGCTGGCCCTCGTGGAAGTACCATGTGGCCCACAACACACTCGTGGGTGATTTCCCTGACATCTTTCTCCTCCCCCTTCCTTCTGCTAATTTCTTTGTTTTGAATTCTTTCCTCAAATGTTAATCCCTATCTTACCATTCTATTCTTCCAAAAAAATATGTATTTTTCTAAACAAAGCCTCTTACCACATTTATTGGAAGCAGACTTCATCAAGAATAAGTGGAAGTACACACATGTCTCTGTTGTGTCAGGTGCCTATTTTTATCCCTATGCCACCTCCTCCTTTTTGAGAATTATCACTCATGCAACAGGAGGAATAGAGCACAATGCTTAGCACCCAGCAAAAGTACAGGACCTCTCCCAGCAAACCAGGATGCCAACAGAGACTGGAGCTGACTTCAGCCTAAGCTAGGCAGGCTACACACATTCCCTGTTCTCCACCCTGAATGGATTCACTTAGAAAGGAGGATAACATGATTTTTTAAAACATTTTTTATTGCTATAAGACATATATATAATTTGTCATTTTTACCATTTTTAAGTGTACAGCTAAGCAGTGTTAAGTACCTTCCCATTGTTGCACAATCGTAATCACCATACACCTCCAAAACTTTCCATCTTCCTAAATGGAAACATTGTATCATTAAACAATAACTCTCCATTCTCTCCTCCCCAGCTTGCAACTGTCATTCCATATGCTGCACATTGAGTATCCCTTTTCTAAAATTCTTTTTTTTTTTTTAATGAGACAGAGCTTTACTCTTATTGCCCAGGCTGGGGTGCAGCGGCACAATCCCGGTTCACTGTAACCTCTGCCTCCTGGGTTCAAGTGATTCTTCTGCCTCAGCCTCCTGAAAAGCTGAGATTACAGGCACGTGCCACCATGCCCAGCTAATTTCTTGTATTTTTTTTAGTAGAGACAGGGTTTCACGATGTTGGCCAGGTTGGTCTCAAACTCTTGACCTCAGATAATCTGCTTGCCTCTGCCTCCTAAAGTGCTGGGATTACAGGCGTGAGCCACTGTGCCTGGCCCTATCCAAAATTCTTGAGATCAGAAGTGTTTTGGACTTCAGATTTTTTCAGAGTTTGGAATATTTGCATTATGCCAGTTGAGCAGCCCAAATCCAAAAATCTAAAATCTGAAAGGTTCCAATGAGCATCTTCTTGGAGCATCATGTCAACATTCAAAAAGTTTCAGATTTTGGAGCATTTCCCATTTCAGATTTGGGATGTCAACCTGTACTTTCTGTTTCTATGAATTTCACTACTCTAGGCACTTCATATAAGTGGAATCACATAGTATGTCCTTTTCTATCTGGCTTATTTCACATATAATATCTTCAAGCTTCATCATACTGTAGCACATGTCAGAATTTCATTCCTTTTTAAGGCTGAATAATATTCCATTATGTGTATACCACATTTTGTTTATTCATTCATCCATCGATAGACATTTGGGTGTTTCCAGAGCAACATATTCTTAATTTAATCCCACAATTCCGGACTTACAGGTAATTTAAATTCAATTCGACTTACTGAGCATTTGCTAAGGGTAACTCACTATGGGAACTACTGTGGGAAGCACAGGGGTAAATCATACATGGTGCCTGCCGTCAAGGAATTTACAATACACTGGGAAAAGAGAAGAGAAAGCAGTAGAAGTAACCAGCATTTGCTAATTCCTTGCTATGTGCCAGGTGCTTTACCCAATCACTGCATGTAAAGCTCCCAATGACTCGGCAAGGTAAATATTGTAATATCCACTTTATATAAGAAGAAAAACGAAGGCACTGAGACCTTAAGTAACCACCTCCAAAGCTGGGATTTAAACTTACATCTTGGATTCCGAGGCCTATATTTATTCCACTACACATGTTGTTCCTTGTGATTCAAGGCCGAATGTGACAACTGCTGGGGAAGAAGCTACAGGAAGGTACAAGAGAAGGTACAGGAAGAGAAGACTGCCCCTTGCCTGATGGTAAAGGCACATGACAGGGCTAGGTGTTAGAGGTCAGGAAGGTTTATGTTTGACAGAAATGGAGGGTGGAAAAAACTGCACAAGCAGAGCAAAATAAGAGAGGCAGGAAAGTTCAGTACATACTTTAGGCCCAGTGGAACTGTGGGCCATAAGGCTGCAAAGCGGTGCTGGGAAAAGTCATCGTCATAATGAAATGCTAGCTCAAAGAGTCTGAACTCCACCATCAGGAAATGGTGAGCCACTGTAGGTTTTCTGAAATGGGACATGGTCAGAGTTATACTTCGGGAAGATCACCATGGCAATAAGGCATCACAAGGATGGAGGTGGTGAGGGCAGTTTTTTTTTTTTTTTTTTTTTTTTTTTTGAGACGGAGTTTTGCTCTTGTTACCCAGGCTGGAGTGCAATGGCGCGATCTCGGCTCACCGCAACCTCTGCCTCCTGGGTTCAGGCAATTCTCCTGCCTCAGCCTCCTGAGTAGCTGGGACTACAGGAACGCGCCACCATGCCCAGCTAATTTTTTGTATGTTTAGTAGAGATGGGGTTTCACCATGTTGACCGGGATGGTCTCCATCTCTTGACCTCATGATCCACCTGCCTCAGCCTCCCAAAGTGCTGGGATTACAGGCGTGAGCCACCGCGCCCGGCGAGGGTAGTTTAAAGGTAGGAAAAGCAGTTAGAAGGTCACTGGTGACAGCAAATGAGGTATAAATAGAATGAAAAAGAGGATATGGATGTGAGAGATATCTCAGAGGTAGGAATGACAGAACTTGGCAATAGTGATTTCATAACGCATTTCATAAAGCATCAAGTAGGCTGACCATACCTTCTGATTTGCCTGGGGTATGTTTTCCTGATGTAAGGACTAATGGCATCCTTTCACTCTCAAAAAGGCCCAAGTTTGGACAAGAAATTATATAACCATATTAATTAGGAGCAATTAGTAAACAGAATCAAAGTTAACTCCAGGATTTTAAACCTGGATTAGTAAGGAAAGTGGTAACACCTTTGGAAACATAGAAGGGAAATCAGGTTTCCAGGAAAGACGCTGAGTTTTGATCTGGACATGTTAACTTTGCTGCTGAGGTGAGGATTTATTTAAGAGCAAGAAGCACCTTGCCCATGGATTTCCCCTGTATCACATGAAGGAAGGCATCATTGACCTAAAACAAAACGCAAAAGAATGTAGTCAGATTTGCATATATGGATATTTCAACAAACATTTGTTGCTGGTTCACTTACTAAGATAACTAACATATTAAGATGTATCTCCAATGAACTATAAATAACTAACTATGCAACACTAACTAATTATCACAAATGCAAAGGAAAACAATAACATTCAAGAATGACCCAAGCTCAGTATTTCTATCTAAATGTGTAATTCTCAGTGTTGTCAAATACATGCCAGACAGTAAAAAGTCCTAGACTTTTCCATATTCCACTGTAATAGTTCTTCGTTTTCTAGCTTTTGAAACAATGGAGCCACTGACAGAAGAATCAATATTTTTATGTTTAATAATTTTTGTTGTTTTATTAAAATTGTCCTGTTTCCTATGTAACTGAAATTGTAATCTATCTTGAATCTTTTTTAGGAAGTAAAAGGTTACAAAACATATTTAAAGCAGCTACAGTAATCAAGGCATTGTCATATTGGTGAAAGAACAAACAGATCAATGGAATAGAACAGAGAGTCCAAAAATAGATCCATACAAATATAGTCAACTGATCTTTGACAAGAGAGCAAAGCAATTCAATGGAGACAGAACAGTCTTTCAACAAATGGTGCCAGAAAAACTGGATATCACATGCAAAAATATGAGTCTAGATACGGATCTGATACTCTTCACAAAAACCACCTCAAAATGGATCACAGACCTTAAATGTAAAATGCAAAACTAGAAAACTTCCAGAAGAAAATATGGGGAAAAATCTAGGTCACCGTGGTTTAGAAATGAGTTTTTACATACAGCACCAAAAAAGCACAATCCATGAAAAAAAAAAAAATTGGTAAGTTGTCTCCTTAAAGTTAAAAACTTATGCTCTGCAAAAGGCATTGTTAAAAGAATGAAAAGACAAGCCACAGTCAGGGAGAAAAATCTCTGCAAAACACATATCTGATAAATAACTTGATCTAAAATATACACAGAATTCTTAAAACTTAACAATAAAAAGCAGGCAAAAGATCTGAACAGACATGTCACCAAAAAAGATATACAGATGGCAAATAAGCATATAAAAAGATGCCCAACAGCATGTGTCACTAGCGAACTGCAAATTAAAACAACAATGAGATACCACCACATACCTGCCAGAATGGCTAAAATCCAAAACACTAACAGCAAATGCTGGTGAGGATGTGGAGCAATAGAAACTCCCATTTGCTGCTAGAGGGAATACAAAATGGTACAGTTGCTTTGGAAAACAATTTAACAGTTTCTTACAGAACTAAACACATCCTCACCATACAATCCAGCAATTTCACTCCTAGGTATTTACCCAAATGATCCAAAAACTTATGTCCACACAAAAGCCTGCACATAAGTGTGTATAGCTGCTTTATTGACAATTGCCAAAACTTGAAAACAACCAAGATGTCCTTAAATAGGTGAATGGAAAAACAACCTGTGGTACATCCATACAATGAAATATCATCCTGTGATAAGAAGAAATGATCCATCAAGCCAAGAAGAGACATGGAGGAACCTTAAGTGCATATTTCTAAGTGAAAGAAGCCAGTGTGAAAAGGCTACGTGCAGTCTGAATCCAACCATATAAATTCAGAAAAAGGCGAAACTGCAGAGAAAGTAAAAGAATCAGTGGCTGCCAGAGATTGAGGGGCTGGGGGTAAGGATGACTATGTAGAGTGTGGGGGATTTTTTTAGAGCCGTGAAGCAATTAAATCTAGACAAAAAGCAATTAAATCTAGACAAAAGTGATAGTAGCATGACAAATGTGGAAGAAGACTTTTGCAAAGTCTCAAACTAACATCTAGAGCTTTGCCACTCAAAGGGCGGTTCAAGAACCCCAGGCTTCTGCATCACCTAAGAGCTTATTAGAAAGGCGCGATCTAGAGTCCCATCCTATCCCCATTGAATCATAATCTGAATCTTAACAAGATTGCCAGGTGATTTGTATGCACATCAACGTTTCAGAATACACAAGGAACGTTTGCAACTTAGTAAGAAAAAGACAGGAAGGCCAGGCATGATGATTCATACCTGTCATCCCAGCACTTCGGGAAGCCAAGTTGGGAGGATCACTTCAAACCAGGAGTTGGAGGCCAGCCTGGGCATCACAGGGTGACCCATCTCTATTAAAATTGTTTCTAAAATTAGCTGGGCATGGTGGCACATGCCTGTAGTCCCAGTTACTCAGGAGGCTGAGGCAGGAAGTCACTTGAACTTGGGAGAATTGCTTGAGGCCCAGAGGTTGGCTTCAATGAACCAAGATTCCATCACTGCACTCCAACCTGGGTGACAGTGCAAGACCTCATCTCAAATAAACAAGAACAAAACCCAAAGAGACAGGAAGCCAAACAGAAGACTACATCAAGAGCTTAAATTGCAATTCAAAGCACTGGAAACCTGAATGGATACCAAATATGTAAAGAGATGCTTAAATGTATGAGAAATCAGGAAAATTCAAATGAAAATAGTAAGATGCCACTTTACACCTTATCAGTTTGGCAAAAATCTGAATGTTGGACATATCAACAGGGTGGCAAATAGACAAGAATTCTCATGTGCTGCTGACAGAGGCACAAACTGGTCAAGTCATTCTAGAGAGTAATCAGCAGTCAAATTAAGTATGCATACATCCTATGACCCAACAATCTACACCTGGGAAAATAACCCCAAAGTGACCTTTGCACAAGTCCCTAAGGTTACACATATAAGGCTGTTTACTGCTGTACTGATTATTATGGCTTGATTAGGGAATCAAGTCAACCTCAACGTTCATCAGTAGAGAATGAATCTGTCAACTGTGGTGGATGCACATCACGCACCACGATGTAGCAGTGGGAAGCAATGAACTGGATACAGGAACAGCAACACAGATGGATCTTAAAAAGACAGCACTGAGAGAGTTTATGAAACAGAACAAGGTCTGGTGCCTAACACCATTTATGTAACTTAAAAAGAAATTAACACACAAATTAACTCTATTTGTTTTACAAGGAAATGTAAATCCAAAGATACATGTCAAACTCATCAGACTGGCTCAGAAGGAAGGAAAAAGAGTGGGGAGAGGCAGTGGGAAATGAGGGTAAAGGGAATAAGTAAATACAGACATTCATAAAATTACCGACATAAGAACAAAAGATCAGCTTTCCATGACCCAACAATGAAAATGTGCTTTGAAATGAAGAGTATGATTAATCAACCCTTTCCATTTGAGATTCTCCAAAAAAAAAAAAAAAATACGAAAAATAAAGTAAAATGAGTACAGGAACAAATCAATCATGGTAATCTCTCTGCTGTATGAAATCCCTGGTTTCAAAAACATCTATCTTTCAGAGCTCTGTGCCTTACAGAGACCTTTCCCATCTAAGCGAATTTAGACTCTCGACAAGGAGGTGGAAGAGGTCTAAGACAGATGTTTGAAACACTCATCCCACTTGTCAGTCATTTCCAGGTGACTCACAGCTGCATCAGTCTCCCTGTCAGTTAGAAGTCACTTGTTCCCAGAGATGTGTCATAGCCCAACAATAGAAAATACTTGAGAAAACAAATATTATTAGAGCTAGTGATACTTTTTTGCTGGCATCTTAAGGGAATGAAGGATCTTCTGCAAATAAATGTTAACATAAAAAGAAAGCTGTCCCCTCAAATGCTCAAGCTAATTTTAATCATGTTGCATATGAATCTTTATTAGAATGTGTCACATATTTCTGTGACTTCTATATCAGAGAATACTGGGGGAAAGCATAATCTTCTCGTTCCATGACTTGAGCATTTCAAAATTTTGAACATCCATTATTTTATCTTCTGTTTTTCCGATATTCTGTAGCCTCTCCATGTCCAGTTGCCACTTCTGTTGTAACTGTAGCTGCTTCTAAAAATAACCCAACTCTGTCCCTTTCTACCTGGTGGTCTCTGTCCGGGCTGGGACAACACACTGACTCCCAGTGGTGTTAAGGACTGGAATTTTAATCACAGTAATAAGGATCTGAGTGAGAAACTGAAAAGTAAAGCTTTAGACCAGTCTTTTGATAGCTACTTCAGATAGCCTAGGGACACTTTCCTCCTGGATTACGCAGGCTGTGTTACAGAGAGGAAGACTGTACAATACTGATGCCTAGATATAACAGATACACAGGCTGTTCCCAGTACCCTCATTATCTGCCTTCATTTGGATGAAGCCATAATTAAATTTGTCTCTGGAGAAATGCAACCTGGCACTTGGAGCAGGCTAAGAACATTGCTTTTGTTTTAGGATATGAAGGTTCTGCTGTTGGAATTTTTAACTAGTTCTTCAATCAGGAATAATCAAAGTAACTTAGAGTTTTCTAAATATATCATATTGATGTGTGCATTCATTAGAAACTGGCTCTTCCCCTGAGATCTTCCCAACTAAAAAATAAACTCTTTATGAGCAAGACTAAATCCTACTTTTTATTGACTGACATACAGTGAAGGTTTGATGAATAAATTACAAATTAATGAATATACCTGAGATGAGTGGGACTGGGTTTTTTTTTCTATTAGTTTTTGAAGTCAGGTAGTTTTTGATTGCATGGATAAGTTACTTAGTGGTGATTACTGAGATTTTAGTGTACCCATCACCCAGCAGTATACACGGTACCCAATATGTAGCCTTTTATCCATCCCCGCCACAAACTTGCGCCACACCAAGACCCCAAAGTTCATTAACGTCACTCTTAGGCCGTTGAGTCCTCATAGCTTAGCTCCCACTTATAAGTGAGAAGATACGATATTTGATTTTCCATTCCTGAGTTACTTCACTTAGAATGACCTCCAGCTTCATCAAGTTGCTGCAAAAGGCATTTTAAAAATTTCTTTTTGTGGCTGAGAATTCCAGGATGTACATTTACCACATTTTCTTTATCCACTCACTGGTTAATGGGCACTTAGGTGGGTTCTATATCTCTGCAATTGCAAATTATGCAGCTAAAAACATGCATATGTATATCTTTTTC